CCTGGGAAATGTTTATTCGTGAAGATCTGCTAGTGAGTTGGATGAGAATGGTGAATTTATAGTCAACAAGCATGTGGGAATATGATCAGCATCATTAGTCACTAGGGAAATATGAATTAGAACTGTGGTAAAATTAAAATACACCTGCTAGAATGGCAACAGTGTAAAAGACTGATAATATCAAGTACAGACAAGGCTATGCAGCATCTGGAATTCTCATACATTCCTGGTGGAAATGCAAAATAACATCGCTACCTTGGAAAACAACTTGTAGGATTGTTCTTAAAGTTAAATACACAGCTAACAATTCTACTTCTAGGTATCTACCCAAAAGAAATGCATTCCCCCTTCCCAAATTTGTTCATGAATGTCTGTAACAGTATTATTCATTATGACCGACAGAATTTAGTAGTCACCCCCTTATCCATGGGGATCTGCTCCAAGACCTCCAGTGGATGCTGAAACTGTAGCTAGTACTGACCCCGATATACACCATACCTATGAGAAAGATTCATTTATAAATTAGGCACAGTAAGAGATTAACAAAATAATTAATAATAAAATTAAACAATTTTAACAACATACCATAATAAAAGGTATGTGAATAAAAGTTATGGTCTTTCTCTCTGAAAATATCTTATTGTATTGTACACCTTCTGGTGATGATGTGAGATGATAAAATGCCTGCATGATGAGAGGAAATGAGGTGAAAGACATAGTCCTCGATGGCGTCATGTGAGGCTACCACTGACCTTCCCATCACAAGTTAGAAGTAGGATTATCCACTTCTAGACCCTGGTTGGTGGAGTAGGGAGCACAGAGGAATGGACTGAGAGGGGAAAGCTGTTTGCTTCTCATTCTCTAGTATCAAAGATGACCCATCCCATGCTTTCCTTGCCATTGAGATTATCAAGTGAGTGGCTGAGAAAGAGAAGAGTCTCTTTTGAGAGAGTGTAATGCAGTCCAGAGTGTTCCTTCTTCTCTGGGCCAAGGGTGAATATGAGAAAGAAGAGGAAAAGGGGTAGAGCAGCCCCTACAAGGGAGAAAGACTTCTTCAACAAAGTCCCCAATACCACTCATCTTTAAAAAACTTGCTGGATCAAAGGAGGGGGTATTCTTTTTTAGAGCTGACTCCTTGTATGTATTTCTCCTTCAACCATACTCCTTCTCTGGAGTTTCTGCTGTTGTTTTGACACTAGTCTCAGGATTCATTCAAGTAAGCAGTTGTTCGCAAACTTAAACTTGCATTAGAATCACCAGGAGCGCCTGCTAAACCACAGATGGCTGGAGTTTTGACCAGTGTGAAGTGGGAGCTGAAAATGTGCATTTCTAACTGGATCCAAGATTACATCAGTGCTGCTGGTTCCAGCACTACTCTTGGGAATCTCTGGGTAAGCACTGAGGCATTTGCCCCAGCTACGAAAAAACTCAAGTACAAGCTAGCTGAAACTGAGATCAGCAACACATTTGCCAGGGCAAATGGCAAATACTTGTCAAGGCAGGCCCCAGTCCCTTCTAGGCACTCTTGGGTGTGACTCCCTTTGTGTCCCCAGATCTCCATCATTAGTCCTCAACTGTGGAGCCAAGGTCTTTCTCTAGCCAGTTTAGTTTGCTTCCTCTCCCAGGTCGGCTTCTCCTTATCCCACACTTCCTTGGAGAGTGTTTCACTGTTTAATTTTGGGCAGGTCTATTTACTCCAACCTGAGGCCAAAGCTGCTCTCCTCCCATTCCCATGACCCTGCAGGTGAGTGGCTACTGGGCTCTCCCCCTTGGGCAGATTTTCCCAGGAGCAGATACCCACACATCCTCTCTTAGTTTCCCCAAACTGAGCTTACATTTGCATAAGCACAGCCTGGATTCTCTGACTTGCTGATTTCTCACCCCCCAGTGCTGCCTAGTGGGAGGCTCTCACTCTGGATCACAGCATACTAGAATCCCTGACACTATCCATGTAACTCTATCCTTGTAGCTGCACTCCCTCTGCAAAAGGTTTCTGCTCTTCTCCACCCTGTCCCCAACCCTGGTCCAAGTCCCAGTACCACCTATCTTGTCCTCTGTCCTGCCTCGAAACCTATCTTCCCTGGGTTATCCACTCTTCCTGTGTAACATTGCAAAGGACAATAAGACATGTTATTTGATTCTTTTTTTTTTTTTTAAGATTTTATTTATTTATTTGAAACAGAGAGAGAGAGATGACAAGTATGCAGAGAGGCAGGCATAGAGAGAGAGAGGAGAAAGCAGGCTCCCCGCTGAGCAGAGAGCCCGATGCGGGCCTTGATCCCAGGACCCTGAGATCATGACCTGAGCCGAAGGCAGAGGCTTAACCCACTGAGCCACCCAGGCGCCCATGTTATTTGATTCTAATGCACTTTTCTTGTTCTAATTCAGGCTGATTATCCACTAAGGCCATCAAGACTTTGGGGGAGGTAGGGGCTTTTTGGAGGGAAGAACAAAGTTACACTATACTCAAATTACTTATCAGTTAAAGCCTTATAGTACTATGCAATAAAATTGACTTTACCCCAAACTGGGTATTATATTACTTTTTGATAGATCAGAAGACACTTTAAGTGATTAAAGTGCTTTTTGTCATTATAAATGTTAATTATTATGGGTAATTGAAAATGCAAAAAGAATGAAATGAATAGATCTTTCTGGTTGATAGTATGATAGATATATAAGCTTGTATTCTATTAGAGAGATGATAAAGTAGAATAATGTCTTCTGATGTCTTCAGTGAAAATCTGGCTCTGGTGGGTAATCAGCCTGAATTAGAACAAGAAAAGTGCATTAGAATCAAAGCAGTAGAGACTGCTTATATTTCAGGCTGTAGATGTTGCTAAAAACTTCCTGACATATGAAACTGCATAGTGGAATGTCATTATGAAAGCCTAATTAGGAGTTTAAAAGTATTAATATTAAAAATTATTTTATTCTGTATGGAAGATTTATATACATCAATAATCTTTGCAATATACATTTAATTTTCATCTAAATGTAAGGGATACCATTCCCATGTGTCCAATCAGAAAATTCTTGCCCTAATAAAAAGATATTCAACAAGTCTGTGCTACCCAACTATATTTATATGTATAGTTTGATGATAGTATTTTCTTGAATGTTAAAATTTATATGTCACAGACGCAAAAGGAATTTGCAGCAATGTTACAAAACAGGAAAATCATTTATGTTTTCACAAAGTTAAACAGATTTACGAAGGTAGAGGAGCATCTTTCTTTGAAAATTACTTCCAGTGAGTTCCCAGGCCCAGCCACCATTATCATCACTTTTTCTACACAAATGATCTGTTGTAGGCTGCAGTCAATAGCTACGCAATTTTTTATACATCAGGGCTTAATGGAAAGAAGGAAGATGAAGAGGAAATATAAATTCCAATTTTCTGTTCATGGTCTAATGGCCTATTATTCAGCCAACTTTCTACATGTAGAAAGCCTTCATTAGTACGCCATTAAGGATGACATTAAAACTTCTGATCTGTTCTTCTAGGTTGTAAGTTATGTCTCACATAACAAATTTTACTGGAGCTCCTTCAGGTCTGGTATCTACATCTATAAATATTTCTATCTGTTCGTTATATCCTGCTGTAGGAGTGAAATGGTGCAGAGTATGAAAAATACACGTACCTTGGTTTGGAAAATTCCTTTTTGAAAGTGTGAAATTTAATAAATTTATAAAGAAGAGGTAGGTGGTACTAGAGTAGTGAAATGGATTTTAATTACTCTAATGTCATGCTATTTGGAACAAGAGTAAACATGTCTGGATGCTTCTACCAACACTACAACCCTCCATTCAGGAGAGTGTGATCTCCAGGCTGATTTAGGTCATTTTCTAAAAGATGCTGCTATACCATTTTTCTTCATTCTAAAATGTTCCCCTGGGCGCCTGGGTGACTCAGTGGGTTAAAGCCTCTGCCTTCGGCTCAGGTCATGATCTCAGGGTCCTGGGATTGAGCCCCACATAGGGCTCTCTCTCTGCCTGCCTCTCTGCCTACTTGTGATCTCTATCTGTAATAAATAAATAAAATCTTTAAAAAAATAAAAAATAAAATAAAATAAAATGTTCCCCTTGGGAAAAATTTGTGGCCTACCCTCTCTCAGCCCCAATCTTTTCCCATTAAAGGGCATCTGGGGAAGCAGCAAATATTCCATTTTAACAGTAAATGTTGGTTTCTAGAACTTTCTATCCACAGAGACTCATTAGCTTTTAAGGTTCCTTTCACTAAGGAGCTGCTTAGGGTGTTCCTTTCATAAAGACCTACTTGGGAAGTGCAAATTTCTTATCTCTAAATTGGTATATGAAGTTTCCAAAGGGACAAGGAGGCAAGAGATTTCAGGCACTGTCTCCTTCCTGTTTCCTATCCACTTCGCTCTTGCTCTCAGATCCCGAGCCATCTCTGGCTCATACCTGACCTCGCTTCTAAGAGCAGTTCTGAGTGTGCACAGGGGCTATCTAAGAAGCCACTTCCTCAGAAGCTTGCTGGCTGAGGATGGAACTCCATTCTGTCTACACTGACTTCCTCTGCCTAGGAGCCAGACCTCTCTTCTCTATCACCCTCCCTCTTGGCCTCAGCTCCCAATTCTCTATTCTACCCTCTCCTAACCTGGGTCTCCCTCCCTGGGGTCTGACCTGCCAGGTTCTGCCGAGCTCTTCATCTCCTTAATCAGCTCTTCCTTGCCCCCCAGCCCCTGCTGGACCCCTCACAGGCTTACTCTGGCCTGTTGCCACATAACCCAGACAAAAAGGACACCTGAGTCCTAATCTCTGTGGTGCTACCAAAAAACTGTGAGAGTTCAGGCAAGTGGCTGAACCATCTGAGCTCCGTCTCTCTCCCTGTGTTGGGGCCTCTCTAGGGTCTCTTGGGATTTGAAAACTCTAGTTGCCGCTAAGCTCCTTCCTCCCTCCCTCTGCTTTCCATCCTCCGACTCTGTTTCAAGCAAATAAGCAAGAGTACAACGTGCGGTGACACACAGGTAAGACTCCGTTCTCCGTTTGTAAAGACGACAGCATTTGTCTTTATTGCACGGCCCTGGACGGCTGACAGAGGAAGGCGGTGTGTTCAGAATCTTGTCTTATGCCTGGGTAGCGGGGTTCCCAGTGTTTCAAGGGAGCTCCTCCACGTAAGCGGCAGGAAAATGGCCCCTTTTTCCATTCAGAGAACCAAACCACCATCCTTCTTCTTGTTTCCTGTATATAGTCACAATGTCACCTGTGAACATGCACATTTAGTTAGACAAAGGGTGCTCTGCCATTTAAGTACACGCCCAGACCCAGTGGGTAAGACAATTGGAAGGAGATTCTGCTTTCAAGGAGTTACTTGGGAGCATCATTCTCTGCACGTGATTCATATGAAGCAAAATTTATTGAACACCTCTGTAGGAAGCAGGCATAATGCAGAGAATATTAAAAAAGAATAAGGTAATGGACAAATTATGCTATAAGATAGTTTCATTAAGAACAGAATCACGTTGGGTCCTACATCCTTCTTGTGCTGGATGGCTTACTCTGGATACGGCCTATGGCCTGTCATCAAACTCTTTCTCCGTGTCTGTGTTTTAAGGGTTTCTCATGTTGGTGACGGAGAGAGTCTGGTATGGTGACTACAAGGTTTGTCTCAGCTACCAGACTTTTCTTTAGATCACGAGAGCTTCTCTCCACTACGTGAGCCAGTATTATAGTCCAAAGTTCCAACTCACAGCTTTGCACAGAAACATAACACCCCCTCATTCAGCAACATAGATTACTTTAATAAAATATCAATTTGAAGACAATACATTTTAAAGCAATGAATCAAATACATAGAATTGCTAAGAAGCACATGGCCCTTCTCTAATTCTCTTTCTTTAAAAAAAAACAACACTATTCTGATCTTAGTAACCCTAAAGCTTAACCTGGTACCTCAAATCCTCTGGCTAAGACCCTCTCTTGGGAGAAAGTCCTACCACTCTGGCTGCTGACTATACATCAAAGCTGAAACATCATCTTCCTTCAGGATCTAAGAGCTCCTTTACCTTGAGCATCCTTCTGAGGTAACTTTTCAGTCTATCTTTCATTCATTCTCCTCCCCAGTTATTTTCTTTCTTAGGCAAAGGACTGTCCACCCCCCTTCCTTCCCAGCTCACTCATAAATCACTTTTCTTATAGGAGATCATTCTCAGCCTAAGTTCTACCTCCACTGAGTTCTGTCAGGCCAGCAGATCTCAGGTCAGCATATCAACACAGTCTGCTAACAGAAATTCAAACAAATAATTTAAAATTTTGTTGCCAGTTTCCCCAAGCCTCCAATGGTTTTGTTTACTTAAGGAACCCACTTATGATATAAAGTATAAGTAGACTTTGCTGCCAACAGAACTAAAGGAAAAGAAGAGAATCAGTTTATTGTGTGACTATGTAACTCAAATCCAGGCCCTGGAGTCTAGGTGGCATCTGAGAAATGTGTTTTTTATTCACACAGGAAGTGGGAATACAGCATTTCCTACTGCTGTAGGTAACCCTAGGATGACATGATGAGGAACAAAGTGACTTCCAGAACACTTTCAACTTTTAAATAAAGGCGATGTTGATTTAAGATGAAGGGAGGAGAGGGTCTACTCTTTATTTCCCTTTTTCTTATCTTTTTTTAATTTCTGACCTAGAAGGAAAAGTAGTTCCTGGAAGAAATCTGGCTGGCAATCTGAAAAGGAACCACCCATTAACCAATAGCAAGTACATGGTGTCCCTGTTGTGTGACTGCAAAATCCATCATGACTTCCTGTTGGTTCTGGGTGCCATTTCCTGCTTGTAGATAATAAACTCTCTACTACAACACAACTCTTTCTCACTCACCTTTTCATTTCCAGATCTCTGCCTTAGCTTTAACATCCAAATATGGTTGCTAATTGGACACACAAAGAAAGTTGAGGCTAGGGGCGTCTGGGTGGCTCAGTGGGTTAAAGCCTCTGCCTTCGGCTCAGGTCGTGATCTTGGGGTCCTGGGATCGAACCCCACATTGAGGTCTCTGCTCAGCAGGGAGACTGCTTCCCCACTCTCTCTGCCTGCCTCTCTGCCTACTTGTCATCTCTCTGTCAAATAAATAAATAACAATATTTAAAAAAAAAAAAGAAAGAAAGTTGAGGCCAGTGACTTTTTCTTATTTAATGTTGAGGGTAACCCATGACAACACACCTTTCCATGTTCAACAAAAATCTGTGACACAGAGAAGGGGGTCATTTCCTAGATTGGCCATAAACCACTTTTCTGAGAGGTAAGTGGGAGAAACATTAAGCTGGAAGTTCTCTGACCCGGCTTCTAGAACTCACGCTTACCCTAAGCCATGAGAGGAAATCATTTCATATTCCTGTGTGTTTACCTCTCTGAAAAGAAAAAGGTGGGGCTACCTTTGTGATAACTTTCCATTACTGACACTCTACTCCAGTTAGTGCTGTGATAAGAAGCATGACTCTGGGTTTCTGAGTTCAAAGCCTATGCTATCACTTCCTGTAACTTCAGCCAAGTACTTAACCTTTCCATGCCTCAGTCTCTTAACAAGAAAATGGGAATCAACAATAATACCTACCTCAAAGGGCTATTATGAACATTAAATGGGACAATGTGCTTACAGCGATGTCTAGCACTGAGTAAACACAGACTAAATATTAGCTATTTTCATTATGTGACTTTTATTTCTGGTGTGCCTTATCTTTGTTTTTTCCAAAAAGGGTGATTATAAACCTGAGATGGTTTGATGTTGTAGTAACTTGTAAGGCTGTTGAAACAAAACAGGAGTTTCATTCAAGTAAAAGATCTCACGATGGTAAGGCAGTCAAACTATTTGAAAATGATTCTTACCTTTTTCCAAATTTAATTCATCCTCTTGTCTGGCTTGAAAAGAATATTGAGCCTTGCAAAGACCGCTGCTGAGCTGGGCCACACCGGAGGCTGAAAGTTGGATTCGGTTATAATTATTAATGCTGGGTCGGTAGGCAAGATGAACAGAATGGGAAGCTCCTGAGTGGTTGAATGGTGTGGTGCAGAGCCGAAATCTGCTGACATTTTCTCAAGAGGAAAGTTTACAATTTCACATAGTATTCATTCCTTGGTAGAGTAACCATTTATGACACACTACTATGTGTAGGGACTAGGTATATGATATAATCAAAAACTGTATGATAATTTGAAACATGATGAGTCTGGAGAAAAAAATAATAAAGATGATAATTGAAAACTGTTTCCCACATGAACTTCTTTATCAACATCAGTTAGCTAATACATATGGTATTATGTATTAAATATTATTATATAATAATAATAAAATTATTAAATAATTGATAATTATTTATAAATAAATAATATTGGTATTATGTATTAAAGTGATGGGGAGTCTTTACTATACCACGTGAACCATTACATCTGGGGTTTTCCTGGAATTTTTTTGCCAACTTCTCATCAAGAAACTCGAGAATTGAGTTTGGAAACTATAGTTAAACAAGGGACAATGACGTGTGTGGGTGTGTGTGAATGAGTGTGTGTGAGAGAGAGAGAGAATGTGTTCGAGTGTGTGTGTGTGAGTGTTGAAAGGTGAAAGGTGGGGGGTGTGGGCTGGCAAACAGCTAAGGTCAGGCAGCTGAATAAAGGGAGGAGGTAGGTCTTGGGATCACCACATTTCTCACAGAAAGGACAGGATTTCTATGGACCTTTGGAGAAGACTGTGGAGACAGAGTTTCTCACAATGGTTCAGGGTGAATGTATGGACAGCAAATTGCAGACTGAATAACACGGATGCCAGTCATCTAAGGGACCTTTCTTATAGCATACATTTTTTCCCCCAACCCTCCGCTTTTTGACTCCTTCCCACATTTTTGGATTACATCTGCACAGAGAGCTACAAATGCTAACAAATCAATCAGTCCTAACTGAAATGCAATTTTTTTTGTACTGATATATGCCCATGTGACCCTGAAAATAAAATGTAAATGTCACAATGTGCTTTACCAACAGAACCCAGGCCCAAATTATTGTGGGCATGGGATTACCTGTAGATGAGGAAATTGGGATTCTCTGCCCACCAGGACATGTCCTGCTCACCACATTCTCTAATCTCTTCATCAGAAAAGGCCGAGATATTTTTACATAACTATGTGTCTGTTGCTGTTTTAGAGAGTAAAAAGAAAAAAAAAGTCATTTTAACAACACATTCATCTAAAATATTTTTGACAAGTTTAACTCTTCCACAGTTTTTTACCTCAGGAGTTTGTCTTTGAATTTTGGGGAGGAGAGTATAAATAAGTTATTCAATACTTTCCTAAACTCTACTATAAACCTTAATTGTTTCTGAAGCCATAATATTTTCAGAATTAGACCATTACAGCGTTTTATAGCCCGTGTTTCCAATTCTGACCTGCAGCTCCAGGTCAAATAATAACATTCAGAGCTTTACTTCCTCACATTCAACTTTAATCAGCTTTAACGCAAGTGAAATTGCCAGGACTCTAAGTGATTGAGATCAGTTTATCACAAGATGGTTACAGCTCCCCCTTCTGACAGGAAATGGAAAACAGCTTCAAGGAGGAGCGACTCCTGTGCGTTCACGAGCTCATCATCAATTCCTCTATCTCAGAGTTTAGGTCCGTATGAAATTTTACTCTAAAAGCCTGTTCAGAGAATGAAGTTAAGATATGAGGAGGAAGAAGAAGGAATCCAAAGTGTTATTAGCTCCTCATATTTAGTCTGCAAAGGAAGTACTCATTTGTGATGAGCTCTTGTTACTACACTAAAAGGAATAAAAATAAATTTATCTTAAAATTCCACAATTGGGATTCGAGATCTATGCCATATAGAACTCATAATAGCCTTTTCCGCCCTGGTACTACTTGAAGCCACTCCATACAAAAAGCCCCGTCAGGAAATTACAATCCATCTCTTAAGTTTTTACCTTCTCTTTCCACTTGAAGATGGAGTTACTACAGGGATGGCTGGGTTGAGGTCTTTGCTCAAGTTCTGCTAACACCGATGACAGTTTGTAGGCATTTGCTTGCAAAAGGTCTAGTTTCAAACGGGTCTGTGGACACATCATTTGGCCATGTGAGTAAATTTCTAGAAAATGAGGCACAGCTGCGTGGGTAGAGGGATATCAGGAAAACTCCCAAGACGACAGAGAGGTCTAGAAAAGTACACGTGCAACTCATGCAGACAGGCACAGAAAATGCTAAAGGGAGCAAAAAGTGGACCTTTAAGCACTTTAAAGGAAACGTGTGGTTGTTGAGTGCACCTTATTCTGGACTCTTATGAACAGGATAAACTGGAAACCTAGACAGATGAGGGTTCTGTGGCAACAGATAGCTTTACTCAATTTACTGTTGAGGAGTGAGAAAGGGAATAATAAGTGTTGACTGCAGAAGGCAGAGCTTTGGAGGGCTTTGAAGAAAGGCAGTTGAACATAGTGCTCCGTACTGTGAGCACAGCTGAACTTGTATCAAATAGGATCCAACTGAAATGGTGTGAAGTGGGTTTTGTTGTTGCTGCTGCTGTTACTGTTTTTCTTACAGAGGTGAGGTCTTATATTACCCAAAAAGTTTACAGTAACACTTCTGGAAACTGGAAACAATATTTGGAGCATTTGGGTGTAAAAATAAGTGAAGCTAAAGATACACTCCTAGTTCTCCATTTGACCTTGAACTAGAAACTTCATAATAGCTTCTCTGTCAAGCTGTGTTCAGTCAGGATAACTGGAAACTAAACAATGGAAGGAGCCTGCTTACCCCATCTCTTCCTCACCATCATTTCCTCCCTTTTCCACACGTCCAGCATGGGGATTCCTAACCCTGCATTCCTTGCCAGGGGACCACAACCATGCACTGAACTCTTCTGATCGGTGGGGAATGACCCACTGCATTGTGGGGGAGGCTAACCTAAGGTGAAATCGAAACCCATCACATACCTTCTACCATTAGACCTAGTCTGCATCCGGGAACATCATAGGGCAAGCCTCCTTCCTCCTCTATGCGGTGCTCCTTCCCACCTCTGAAGGCAATGTCTACTATACATTCAATTTCTGCAAAAATTTTTCATAGAACATGCCTTGCCAACATTCTTGCTTCAAATATGGCACTTGAAGGACCAAGAGACAATGAATTGGGAAGAATTTAAATGAAACAGAGTTTCCTCCTGTAAGAAACCTTGCCTGGGGAACACAAAGTCTACCAATATCCCCAGTCTCCCTCCACCCAATGCAGCGGTGTGTAACCAAGTTACAAAGATATTTGGCATCCAAATACTTGAAGGTTTGTACTGGCTCCATCATAAACACTGTCAATTCAGGGGGTGGACCCTCTCCAACCTTGCACCCTCCGCTGTGTGAATCAGGCCAACGTGTACCCAGATATCCCAGTACATGTCCTAGGCTGGTAATGATGACAACAAAATTCTATGCAAGAACCACCAAAGAAATAAACTTACAACTTCACACCATCACAAAGTGCTCCATAGGACTTTATTTCGGTAAACAGGGATTGCATAGAATTCGTAAACCAAACATTTCTCACTGTCACAGAGAATGTCCTATGGACTGCTTTCTAGTCTCATAGGACCCGCAGCCATGTGTCCCAGCAAGTGTGTTAGACCTCTGCTCCCAAGTGAACAGAATTCAGGGCCTTTCTCTTCACTGAGAGCGTGAGGCCTGTTTTTACAACAGCTCCCCCACTAAAGGAAGCCTCTGCTAAAAAACAGATTAAACTGTACCTGGCTGTATCTGTCTCCTTTCCCCAGAGAACAACCGAAATTGCCTGTTTGAACAGAGGGATGAGGTACCTGGCTTTCACAAGAGTCAGTCAGACTATGTACAACGTTCCAGCTGCCTGTTTCCTTCAAAACATTGCTAAAGATTTTGTATCTCTTCCTGAGTTTTTCTCAGACGAATCCCAGTCAACTTTCTCTCTCTGTCACAGCAGAAAACCTGTATCTAGCACACATAGCTCATAGTATCTGTTCATTTTCACTCCTACATAAAATCCACAGGCCATTGCTGGCCTCCCTTTCACTGTGGGTGCCTCTGAAGCGGCCGCATTGTCCATGACCCCCCACAAACACCCGGGAGCTGCTGTGGGCCAGGCCCTCAGCAAAAAGGCCCAGAGATGCCTCTCCTTGCCCTCTCCTGACAGTACCTCCTCTTCCCTCAAAACCACCTCAGTCTCTAAACTTTTCTTCCCTTTTCCTCAGAAATTTTTGCTGCACACTCCAGACTCCCCTCTTCCTTCTCTGTGGCCAAGCTTTCCGTTCTCCTGTTATTTTCAGAAGCTCCTGATGTTAGCGGACCGGTAAGTAGGAAATGAACTCTTTGTAGTTACTAGGATTTCAGCTCTCCTCAGTGCATGGTGCTGGCCCTTTCTAGCTCACACTTTATCTTCACAATAACCCTCTGAGGTAGGTACGGAGAAAAGTAAAGTTGTCCCAAGTCCCTGGAAAGGGCAGAATGAGATCCAAATACAGGCCTTGTTGAATGCAGACCCTGTGTTTTTAATCACTTCTCTTAACGGGCTTAAAGTACACGTGGTTTCCAGACCTTGATGGAATTATTCTATTTTGGGGAATTCTATTTTAGGCACAATTGGTTTCCTGGAAGGACACTAAAGCAAACATGTCTAAGTAGTTGAATTTTTCCAGATCCCTCAAACGGCTTGTCAAGGAGGCTCTCTGACTAGATTGTTCTATGTCATGAGAAAAGAAAGGCAAGCAGAGGTCAACCAGGCCCAGAAAACAAGCATTCTAAAAATAACTCTTTCATCATTAAATCTAGGAAAGTGGACGCTGCAAATATTTACCTCGTCCATCAAGGCTGCCGTGATTTTTTGGCTCTCTGGGTCTGAGAAGGCGGCGTCCCTGGAGTAGGATTTCAGCATGCGTTCCAGGCCTGACAATGAAACCGTCCCCTCAGTCACTGATGTCCTTCCTGTCCTGGGGGGACACAGCTGACAGGGGGCACATGCAGGGGGAGCCTGAGCCCAGAAGGGATACCAGGGCGATTTCCCAGTGGCCGAGGCTCTCTCTCTTTGTAGCTGTGACTAACTTTGACTGACTGAATGGGTGGCCTGTACCCTCATTTAATGAAAGTTGAGAAATTCTGGTGTTTAAAAAGAATCTTGATTGTTATTTTGCAAGATGAGCTTTGTGAATCCTCCTTGGGGACCCGGTCCGTGGTCGGTTCCCAAAACTATCGCAGTGTTGGGCTCTCCCTCACTGTGGTAGTTTCTAACTTTTCACCCTCTTGGATTCAGGGATTCTGGGATTACATTTCAGTGTGTTGTTTTGGTCCACATCAAATGAGTTCCACACACCAGAATCAGGAGCGCGGGGCTGTTTTTATTACCCACATCGCTTTAGAGCTGTTTCCCGTTCTGACATCCCCAACTCATTCAGAAGGATCGTTTACAAAGAAATAAACAAGGAAACTAAACCCGTGTGCTCCAGGAGGTTTACCGTGTTTTAAACCAAGCAAGCTGTCCCTCATTCCAGCCAATTTCAGAAACACGGCAAAATGCTATTATTTCTGGAGACACAGTGCTTGGCGAGTGCTCTTAAATATACCCAAATGTCATTTTCAATCTGTTTGTGCTCTCCTGTCTTCTTTCCCATTTTTCTTGATTCACATAAATTAGGTCTGACATATGAATCTTTAAATGAGGTGATCCCTGCCCCAGTTAGCAAAGGTGGACTCGCCCTACCTCTGAATGAAACCCCTGAGTAGAAAGAACACTTTCCCTGATCGGGCCATTCACAGGTATAATTACACACCTTCCTGGTCTCTTGAGGCTTTTTCAATATCTTTTTGCAGTCTCAACAGTTTTGATTTTAATGAAGACTCTTGTCGCTCTTTATTCATTGCACTGTTAAGATCTTCTTCCTTTAGGGAAAAAAAAAAGATGCTTAACAATTGAAGGAGAAAAAGTAAGGTTTGCTACTCCCAGTTGCACTGAGAATTTCACTGACAACTGTATTTAATATTAACTTGACAGAAGAAAAAGAGTAAAAATAAAATAAAGTCAGGATAACCTTTGATTTTCTAGATTGTTCCATCTGTCCTTGACCTGCCTAATAAGAAAACATCTTCATCCACAACTTGTATGTACACAGCTGAGCACTTTCTAAAATAGAACACATTATCGTTGGAGAAAGAGCCTTACTATAGTTATTTCATAGTTTCTTGATAAGTAAATCTATTTGTTGGATATTTTACGGCTCCCTGTTAATCTTTTTTCCTAAAGAAGATTTTATTTATTTATTTGAGAGAAAGAGAGAGAAGATAGCACGAGTGGGGAGAGGAGCAGAGGGAGAGGGAGAAGCAGACTCCCCACTGAGCAGGAAGCCCAATGCAGGACTCGATCCCAGACCCCGGGATCGTGACCTGAGTCAAAGACAGATGCTTAACTGACTGAGCCACCCATGCACCTGCTCCCTATTAATCTTGATTCAAGTTAGAGTTCTTTAAAGGTACAAATGTAGCATGATGCGTTTGCTAGGAGCCAGGACAGTGTCAGGAACGGAACCAATGTTTGTTGTGTCTGCCCTGTACTGCCTGGCTATTGGGGATATTATGAGCTCTTCCCAGATGGGTCTATAATTCAGTCAGGCCTTGAAGCATAACACTAAGAGACCTAGCAATTCAAGGCACATTCACTCATGAGTGGTGCAGACAGGAATGCGTGATTCAGCGAGTGCCAGGACATGAAAGTTTCAAGGAGGCTAAAAGGACTTAATCGGGATTTCTCAGTCAAGGGGAAGGAGGGAAAAGGGTACTCAGGGCAGGAGAAATGGCACAAAGAAAGGGCAGAAGGAGGTTACAGGAGATATATCAGAAACAGTACACAGACCAGTTGCTTGAGCAAACACAGTGGAAGGAAAAGTTGTCTTGGCAGTTTAGGCCAGATTTATGGGCTGAAGAGGGGATTTTGTCATATAAAATGTGAGAAACTGTTATCAATATTTGAGCGTTCACATCTATTATTTCAAGGGTCGAATGAAAAACAAAATGAGGACGTCAGGGACGGGTGGAGAGGTGACTGAAGTGGAGGGTAGCAGATGGACAGGACCCCGTAGAGAATGAGGGGACACTAACATCTGAAGACAGAAGTGGAGGAGTCAGGACTTTGCCGATACAGAAGGAGAAAAATGAGCATCCTGACTGTTGGTGGACAGATTAGCTTTAGATAGACTGTCACAAAGTTTGAGGAATTATAGTACAGAGAATAGCCTTTATAGGAACAATAAGGTAGAGATAGACATATTTTATTTACATATTGTGAATGGTATATTATAAAAGTTGGTGTCATTATTACATGTGATCCTTGCAACAACCCTGTGAGATTGGTCTTATTTTCCCTCTGACAGAGAAATAAATGAAGACACAAATGGAGCAGTCTGAAACCCAGGATCTCTGAATCCCAGTGTTTCTTCCCATCTGCTCCTGGGAATGCCCACCCCGCCCCACCGCCACCCCACCCTGCGGCCCAACAGCCCCCAAACCAGGGTGCCTAACTCCACCCATCAGGGCCTCCTCGCTGGAGAAATGCACATTATACTCTGGCTCTGGCTCCAGCTCCCCGGCAGGCCAAGACTTCATTTGGGCTGTTGGGGACGCCTGTTGTTTACAAATATAGTTCCAGAAGTGGATCGCTGCTGGCACAGCTCAAGGAGAGAGTATACTGCTATCCTTGAACTTTCTTGAATTCATCCTTCTCTTCCAAAGACTTTAGAAAGATCAATATTGAAGGTGGAATTTGAAACTTCAGATGCAACCTTCTGAGCACGGCCTTTATAATAACCTTATGAGTATTTTCACGCTGGTCATCCCCTTATCTGCACTTGGACTGTTCTCCTGTCTTACCTTAGTCCCTGTACATTTCTTGGCAACTAGATATAAACCAGTCTAGGCTTATTGCCAATGTCTATAAAGGCAGATTCTGGGCATGTTTTACTTTGAGGATAATAAGGAAATCCCATTTACCCATTTGGATATACAGTCCATTCTCTTAGACAAGAGATATATATATAGTCTTTAGCTCTGGTGCACTGACGTTCCATAGAAACCAAAAATTCCCATGGGCTGACTACCCATAACTGACTATCCATGTCAGTTATGGATAAACTGCCGTGCCTGCATCCCTACATCTCACTAGAAGCCTAAACACATTTTTAAAAAGAATGACAGCTTAGTCAATAGGGGCATTTTTATAAGAAAGTGACTCATGTATTTTATTGTACATTTTCCCATCTCAGGGGTTGCCTACACTATTGGCAAGAGAAAAAAAAAAAAAAAAGGAGTGCTTTTAAGAGTCTCATGCTCTACCGACTGAGTTAGTCGGGCGCTAGAAGAGCGCTTTTAACTTCCTTTCTACTCCCATCGCTACATTTGTTTCTGGTTGGAACAGACATTGCTATTGCTAATTCACTTCATTTTTGCCAGGGTAGGAAAAAAAAGATTTAACTCAAGAAATGGGTGGCCACTTACTGCTGTTTGGGGTTGGCGGGGAGCTGGTCAGAGCCACTGTCGTGCCTAACCTAACTGCCTTCCCTCCTCCTTCACCTCTTGTTCCCTGAACAGGACTCCTGGGATGTTGGATTCAGCTGCCCTTTTAAGCCTATAGGAGGCCATGACCAGTAGGCTAGTTCTCCATATGGTGGAAATGAACCTTCTCAATCTGGACCTTGAAAGTCTGGAAGAAATAGAGCAGAGGAGTTCTTCCTGCTGCTGGTCGTAATTAATGATCAGCTCCTAGAACTGACTAAGACTAACAAGAGGGGAGCGGAGGACAAAATCCTTGAGGTGTGTCCCAAGAAGACAAAGAATTTCCCCCCAGATAACAAAGAAGTGAGATGCCTAGGCTCTGACCAGGCACACTGATCAGTTTTTAGTAAGTTTCATATAATAACAGTATCACCCAAATGCCCTCAAAATAGGCTTCTGTAATATACTGTGAAGTTTTCAAAGGCAAGGACCATGAAGAATGTTGACCATGATCCCCACCTTCCAGGAGTCCTGCCCTTGTTCGATCCCCTCCACGCACACTTACTGACTTGCCCTTGCACTATTGGGCTGCACTTATCAACTTGTTTCTGACAAACAGAATAAGAAGAGATGTCACCTCTGAGATTAGCTTATGTCCTTCTTGGACACTCTGGTTCTGTCTCTTTTGGATCACTAGCTTCTAGGCGAAGCAGGCTGGCCTCTTGTGAATGACCCACAGGTGGAGAGAGCCCACATGTCAAGGAGCTGGTATCTGTAGCCACCAGGTGGGGGGGGACCAGAGGCCTGCCATCTGCCTTGTGGTTGAGTTCAGAAGCAGGTCATTTCCCAGGAGAGCCTTGGCATGGCTGCAGTCCTGGCAGGCACCTTGATGGCAGCCTTGTGAGGGACTCAGAGTCACCCACGGAAGTCACACTTGGATTCCTGGCCCACAGAGACTGTGAGATAATAAATGCTCGTTTTAACCTGCTAAGTTTGGGGGTAATTGTTATGCAGCAACAAACAACTGACAGGCTATACAGTGATTATTTATAGGTCCTGAAACACGTCTGCCTGGCATTACTCTAGGAGACCGAGCATAAAGATTCAGTCTAGAATCCCATTTGACTTTCTTCCCTTCCAGAGGACACCAAAGACATATTTCTACTGCCCAGCTTGTAAACCACGTCCTCTTTTTTTATTTTGTTTTGTTTTATATATATCGACTATGAAAAATATCAATATTTTCATTTACGAAACAAGATATTTCCTTGACGGCTGTGCCCAGTGTTTTTCAAATGCATTCCTCAGCCTATGAACAAGGTTCCCTATCAAGGGAACTTCCTTCCATTCCATACTTACAAAGTAATCGGTTAATAGGAACTCAGATTTATTTTCTGTGGATGAAACTGCAGTTTCTTCCATGAGAGCCTGGGTATCTTTTTCCACATCTATCTTGCTGACGGCACAGTGAATTTGCGTGTGGCACTGCAATGCCAAGAAAGCAGAATAAGGTTGCTGAACAACATTTGCTGCCGGTTCTTGCCATGTGCATCAGAAACAGAGAAATGTTGACTACTCACTGTGGTCAGGGTTTGGCCAAAAACAGAAATATGTTGGGTGTACTGGTTCAAGTTATTGTATAAAAGCTTAATTCTTTCCTTCTCCAGCTCCAGGATGCTCTGAAAAGGATGGAAAATGACAGAAGATGAGCCAGTTGCTGTGCAAAGCTAAAGGCATCCAGCCAGGCAATGACACCCCAAGAAAGCCTGCGGTAATGGTCATGTTAAGTGCCTTTTGATGATGTCTTTTCCAGGCTACCGTGGGGGAGGTTCCCAGTACAGGAATGTGATTTGGTGTGTGTTCTGTTTATCCTCATTTAGGATTGGTTTAACTCGCATAGTTTCCGCAGGCTGTTTTGGCCCAAAAGGTATATAGGCTGATGTTATGCGTTAATTGGCATTCATATAGTAAAGGGAGAAAAGAGGTCATTTGAAAAGCATCTGTGAGTTCTTTTTTTTTTTTAACTTTAAAATTTTACTTTATTTGTCAGAGAGAGAACAAAGGTAGGGGGAGCGGCAGGCGGAAGGCTCCCCGCTGAGCAAGGAGCCAATGTGGGACTCGATCCCAGGATCCTGGGATCACGACCTGAGCCAAAAAGCTTAACTGACTGAACCACCAAGGCATCCCAGCATCTGTGAGTTCTAGAGAAGGAATGGGAAGCCCAGTAAAACCCTTATCCATACCTTGAAAATACATTCATACTATTTGACAAGAGCAGAACCCCAAAGTCTGATCAACTTCAAAATTATGAAATTTTAGGCCAGGTTTTAGGAACACATTGTATCCTGGTGGGCCACTGTTTCCTTATTTTGACACGGGCTGAGCCCCCCGCATCAACCTGAGACTAGAATCACCAGTATCTCTTGGTGGAGATGGTAATGGTTAAGAGATTTTAATTACATTTCAGGGAAATCATTAAAATGATCTATGTCTCCTCATGAAAAGAGGCAGCGATAAACTCCACCGTGCAAAGGTGAAATCCATATCTCAGTGAATTACTGCTCTCTATGATCTTATTCTTTTGGTATAAAATAGACTGTAGAGAAGCAAAATACTCAGGAGGATCTCGAACTGTCCTCCTGTGCCTTTACAATAGCACATATATGAGAGTGTGGTCAGAGCTAGCAGGGAACCGCAGATTTGGAGACAGGTTGGGGCCCAGGCCCCACGCTAACTCACATCCTTTATTCATTCTCCTCAGTCCTGTCAATAGGGTCTTCCAGTTGGTACTACTCAAGGAGTTTGGAAGGATTTCATTTTCATCTAAATTGCTTAAATAAAACTGATCAAAGAAATACCAGATTCTCTCCAGAGCAAGAACTCTCAAATTTTAGCATGCTTAGTCATCACCTAGACCCCTTCCTAAAAATCATTCAGAGCATCGGATTCATCTCATTTAGGGAGGCGCTCAGGAGTCAGAATTTTAACAAGCACGCTAGCTGCTTGGAGATCTTGTCCTGGGACTATAAAGGGCCACAAAAAAAATCTAATTTCAAAATTATTTATGATTCTCCTACCAGAGCTAACCCATTAGCATTTTGATGTATTTCGGTCCATCTAGGTGTGTGTATATGTACAATTTTATTTTTCTAGTTACCTAGGAAATTATTCAAGTTTGTATCCCATTTTTTTCACTTAACATTGTACAAGAGTGGTTTCTCCTATTGTTTGTCTCCAGAAACACCATCTAATAGAGTCCGCTGTGTGGGACTGCATACAGCATAGTTGATTCATTTAGTCATCCCCTTAAGGCTAGCCATTTGAATGGTTTCCGCCCTTTTGCTTTTAATGTATTTTGAAAAGAAATTGGTTTGTTTTTCAGCTATTTCCTCAAGATGAATTTATAGAAAGAAAATTGTGTTTTTCACCACGGGGTTCTGGGAGACAGCCAAGCCCTACTGTCCTGAGGCATCCATTGTATCCTGTATGAGGCACCCACTGCCCCCCACCCCCCGCATCTAGAGAGACAGTCACTACCACCCTTGGGGGAACTGTGGAAATAATCACTCAGATTATTGTGGTTCAGATGAGGAACACTATTGAGAAGGTGAACATTTTTAATGCTTTTGACACTTATTACAAATGCCTCTCTAAAAGAATTCCTTGAGTACTTACTGTTGGAAACAAATATTTGGCTCTTGGTAATTCTTAGTAGCATGGCTATTATTTTTCAAAATATATTGTAGATTATTTCTACCAACTGAATTGTTTGTTCTTGGAAGGTAGGTAATGTGCCTTGAGCATGGTATGAGTATGAATAGTAAGACTAATTGACATATGGTTTGTAGAACTGGTTTTATTACTTCCTAACCTCACTTGAAACTTGACATTTTTTAGTGTCTGGTACACTGCCTCGAGCACAATGGAGGCTCCCTGAAAGAACTTGTAAATCCAATTTGGAGAGTAAGAAGGGGTAAGAGGATACATTATAGGATGTCTAAATGAATTCTTATACCCCATTTCTACAGAATAATGGTCCTGGGAGAAGGGAGGGGAAAAAGGAAACTGAACAATACTTGTCACATTTCCACCTCACACACTTATAATAAAATCCCCCTTTAATGCAGTTCAGCCCACTTTTGCTATGTATCTTCATGAATATAACATTCTTCTCCTGAGTTTGTGAACAACAGAAGATCTAGAACACATAGTGTAACATGTGAGTTAGTGACTTGATGGTGCAGATGGAGAGTATACAAGCCAAGGGAAGAAGAAAGTAAGGCCAGGCAAGGATGACTCGGCAGAAGTAGTCTCCAGTGAGTTTACAGGGCTGAGCTGGCACTAGGGAGAAGGTAGCTGTAAGGGAGCTGAGGTAAGAGGGAAGTGTGAGAACTGAAAGCAAGGGGGAGGCACGATATTGGCCTCTGGCATGGTGGGAACAATAAACCAAGATACAAGAAGGGTGAAAGGAAATCTTTCTTTTCCTTAAGGAGATTCTCATTTTGAGCAGATTCTCCGTGGGACTTGGATTCTAATTTAAAAAACCTAGTTTTAAATATTTTTAAATCCCAGTTAAAAGAGATTTTTTAAAAAGTTCAATTAACATACTGTGTTATCCTAGAATCAGGTGTACAATATTATGCTTCAATGATTCTCTATATTACTCAGTGCTCATCAAGATCAATGTCCTCTCAATCCCCTTTGGATATTACATCCATGCCCCCCACCCACACTCACCTCCCCTCTGACAACACCAATTTGTTCTCTATAGTTAAGTCTGTGCTTTTGTTTGCCTGCAAAGTCATCTTTTGAAATAGAGATAAGTGTGTATCTTGTCACCATCAGGGAGACTTTATAAACAAAAAAGATAATTTCTATGATGTCTTCATATAAAAGTTGGGGCTGGTGAAAGGGGGTGGGTCGGGAGGAGAGGTTTAGGAGGACCCTAACAGGAAAAAAGAAAACTGAGAAAAAGGAAAGAGCTGGTAAGAGCCTCTGAGAAGGGAGCTGGTAATAGCAATACCTAAGACATTTTGAAAGCCAGCTGGATGTCGGCTACACCAGACATGTTGGCAGCCATACGAGGTGGAAACCATAATTATCCCCCATTCCTGTGATGTAGAGGGGTGAGAACAGTGCAGACACGGAGGTTAAGTATTTTTCTCCTAGCCCTTGAAGGGCATCTGGAAGATGGACTGGGAATAGCAATTTCTCTCCCATAATCTTATAAGGCTTCCAAGGAAGCCAGCCTCTGTGGAAAAGCCACAGGTCCACTGAGAAGTTCCAGGGGGTGAGGCAACACCAGAGGCCAGGTTGGAGAGTCAGGTTTCAGATGGACAAAGTTGAAAATTAAATCCTTGGCCCTTTCTCGTCATCTTCATCTAAAACCTACTGAGCAGAAGCAAGGAAAGTTCCGTGTTTGAAGGCATAAATTAAAGAAGGGTTTATCCTCATTTCCTCTACTCTTTGGCCTAGTTTTCTTCTCTCCTTTAATTTCCCTGCTCTTCCCTAACTCTGCATCTATCCTACCTTGAAAGTGGAACAGCAAGAGATTAAATATGGCCCTTCGAATTTTGCCTGTGCAGAAGCAGAGAGCAGAGGTCAAGCCCAAGGCATCAGATTGCTAGGTTGAACCCTGTCACCATCTTGGGCAAGTACCTTCACGTCTCCACTCCTTCACTGTAAATTGGGAAAGAAATGACAACCTCTTCATGATGTTGTGATGAACACAAAATATAACGCAGTGAACATCCTTGGGGCCGTGCCTGTCCCTAGCAGCACCTGTATCGTTCCCACATCACTGTGCTTAATCAAAGTGTGTCTTGATGGCCTCTTTTTGCAACTGTATCTCGATTTAAACATTTTCTTAAAGTTAAAATGTGGGGAAAAAAGAAACCAAAACATTCGTGTTCTTAGCGCCCAGAGTTGAACATTGTTTCACTGGGTCAGATTTATATTGATTTAAAAAGTAGAGAGCTAAGCTGTTCAGAGAGACCATAGTTGGAGTAACTTTTGAGCCTGGGTTTGTTTTGTCCTCTGCCAGGCTGTCCATAAGCTGTGTCACTGTACGTAGCAGCTCAGTTCAATTCCCACCATCTCCCTCATACAACATAGATGCAGTCTATATGTGTAAGTCTACAAACACACACATAAAAACTCACTGTAGGTTGGGGTGTGGGTTTTTTAAATCCTTTAATTTACACACAATGTATAAATAGCATGTTTCTTTCCTTCAACATTATGCTTTTAGGTTAACTGGTGTGTGCGTGTGTGTGTGTTTAAGATTTTATTTATTTATTTGACAGACAGACATCACAAGTAGACAGAGAGGCAGGCAGAGGATGGGGGGAAGCAGGCTCTCTGCTAAGCAGAGAGCCTGATGTGAGGCTCGCTCCCAGGACCCTGGGATCATGACCTGAGCCAAAGGCAGAGGCTTTAACCCACTGAGCCACCCAGACACCCCATGTGTGTGTGTATGTGTATGTGTGTGTGTGTTTTAAGATTTTATTTACTTATTTGAGAGAGGGAGAGAGCTAGAGAGAAAGCTCGAGAGGAGGGGAGGGGCAGAGGCAGAGGGAGAAGCAGGCGGACTCGATCCTAGGACCCTGGGATCATGACCTGAGCCAAAGCCAGACACTTAACCAACTCAGACATCCAGGTGCCCCTAAATTGTGTTTAAATATAGTTTTAATTAATATTTATTGCTAGATATTAGTCTACTTTCTAAATTAGAGCACATTTTAAGAGTAATTCCTCTACTGATAGGTATGAGGATTCTGTACAATTTTTTCTCATCATGCAGTTATAAACAACTCTGCAGTAAACATTGTTACACATCACCCTTGGTATACAGGTGTATACTAGATATATGCCTAGGAGGGGAACTGCCGTGCTGTAACTACATGCACATCTCAGTTTTACTAGATACTATTAAGTCATTCTCACTGAAGAGGTATAAGAATTCTTGTGTCCCAGCAATTCTCGTTTGGCAACACACGATGTTGTCACTTTCTAATCTTTGCCAAATGATTGAGCATCTTTTCATATGTTTATTGGTGATTTTGATTTTCTCTTTTGTGATCTGCTTGTTCATACCTTTTAAGTTTCATCAGATGATTTGCCACAATACTTTCCTTATACATCTTTGCTGCTAAACTTACACCTCCCAGACTAGATGGTTCTCTTTAATCATTGCTCCAGGGCCCAACACAAAGCTCCACATACAAAGAACTCCGTTAAGTGATTAGTGTATAAACAGCTCTCAGGCCTAAAGCTCACTTCTGAGCACCAAGTTCTCAAGCCTTAATTTACACTGCACTTCGACAGCACTTTCTGAAGTTAGCTGAGTGCTATCGTGTCCACTGAGAATTAGAAGCTGGCCACCGATCCTCAGTAAATAAGCACTGGTTAATGGATCCATGGGGAAATGGAAACGATTGGAAATCACGTGGTTTGCCTAACATCACAGTATGAGTGAAGGTCATCACCAAGGACAGAGCTCATCTGGTCCTGTAACTGTAGATCTGACCTTCCTTTTCAAGTCCTCACAACGCTCTACGGAAGAAGAGAAAAATGCCAGCACAGGACTCACCTGGTAGCAACTTTCCAGTGTGTTTTCCCACTTGAGTCTGGTAGCACAGCCAGCCAGGTTTTTTTGGTAGTAGTTTTCATCTTCTTTTGCCAACTTCTCCGTCGATTTTTTCAGTTTACTGAGGAGCTAAAGGAAAACGTCAGGGCCACATATTCCTTAACACATTTATCAAAGCCCTTGGTAACCCAGGTAAAGGATTACATGCAACCCAACGATCCGATTCTCATCTCCCAGCTAAAGTCAGCCGCAGTAACTACAGATGACAAAATCAAAGCTCTTTCTCAGAGAAAAGGCATATCAGAGCTGAAAGGAAACTTAAGGGTCTGTCTATATGATTCCTTCCATTGTTCACATAAGGAAACTGAGGTCCTTCAGTGTGACGTGACGTGTTCATGTTGGTCAAATCAAGGAGGAGGCCAAGTGACAGGTGGGGGGAAGCAAGTGCAGCTCAACTGTCATCTACTAATGATTCCTGTACTCTTGTAAGGGCCTGCTTAGCCAGAGCGAGCCATTTTGTTGTTTATGCAGTAAACTTAGATTGACCCTTCCCCCTCAGAGGAACTTACTTAGAAGCAAGTCTGGGAAACCAGTAAAATATGACTGACAAGCCCCTGATAACAGAGCCCATATACCAGGACGTGTCAGGTCAGGGGGAGGTAACAGAGCCCAGAATACAAGGATGAGTCAAGCCAGGTGGAGACATCCAATCAGGAAAGTGCCTCCCTAACCACCCAAGAATGTGGGTCCTGCCTTTTGGGTGCCAATTCTGACCAGAGTGATAGGCTAGTTCAAACAGCTAGTATAGGATGAATTGTAATTCAATTGGCCACCCGTGAGTGGCCAGGCTCAACCACATGGCCTTTACTCTATAAAAGTTAGTCTGTGAGGTTGGGAGGGGTCATCTCTTTGCAAGAGACGGCCCTGGCTGGTCAGTTTGATTCTCGATGCTTGGTGCAAAATAAAGCTTTGCTTGACCTTCGCTTTGTATCAGTCTCACTCCTTTGACCATGGACCCAACACTCTCATTTGGTAAATCCTCTGTGTGCCTCAGTATTTCTTTTCTTCTTCTTCTTCTTCTTCTTCTTCTTCTTCTTCTTCTTCTCCTTCTTCTTCTTCTTCTTCTTCTTCTTCTTCTTCTTCTTCTTCTTTTTAAGATCTTATTTATTTACTTGTCAGACAGAGAGAGAGAGAAAAAGAGCGAGGGCACAAGCAGGGTGGGGCAGCAGGCAGAGGGAGAAGCAGATTCCTGGCTGAGCAGGGAGCCGATGTGGGACTTGATCCCAGGACCCTGAGATCATGACCTGAGCTGATGGCAGACATTTAACTGACTGAGCCACCCAGGCATCTCTTGTGCCCAGAATTTCTTTCGAGGACAGGCAGATTATGCAAGCCCAGAAGTTTAGAACTGGCTCATTGTGAAAAGCCTGAGGCGCAGACCAACGTCCACTACAAGCTGTGGACTGCTTGCTTGCCAGGTGCTTTCCACTCATGCCGCTCCCCAGTGATCTGTAGTTCACAAACAGCCCCCTCCTGCCAGCCACCAAAATTGGCCATTCTGTATGTGAAGGCTTCTAGAAAATCAAAGTGATAACAAAACGCTCTGCACCAGGGTCCCTGAAATTGATTCTCAAAATGCTCAGACAAGTAATTTCACATCTTGGGGAACAAAGGAAGTTGTATTACATGAATGGTTCTCCGACTTGAATATGTGTAGGAAGGACCTGAGTGCTTGTAAAATTGCAGATTTTCAGGGTCCCACAGGTGGCAATACTGATCCAGCCATTCTAGAACGGGACTAGGAAATCTGAAGTTCACTACCGTCAGGGCGATTCTGATACAAATGGTCCTCAACGCACAGGTCAAGGAGCACCAAAGATCCCTCTGGCTTAAGCAATCTAGGAGTTTCAAGGACAGAGACAAAGGCTCTTATAAATGACCTTCTTTAGGCTTAAGGACATTTTGACTAACGTTTTAGTAATGAAGAACATTCATCCAAAGTGGTGAATATTAACACCACTCACTTAATTATTCTGATTGATATGCTAGCCATTCAGCTGTCCTTCAGCTCTGATGTATGACTTACACAGGACACATCTGGTTTTGTATATCAAGTGTAATGAACCACATTTATCTGTAGAAACATGAGCTTGTGAATTTTAACCTGATAACAGTATAGTGAAAAAGCTGAAAGTGTGCCTTGGCTATACTTTGCTAAATCATCATCCTTAGATTCTTACTGAGAATGCTCTCATCCCCAGCAATGAGAAGGCAGTCACTTTTGAGATGACTGCTCACATTCACCAGCCAACACGATCGAGCTATATCAACTAGAAGTTTCCATTAAGCAAATTTACAACAAATAACCCCAAATAGATATAAAAGAAGAATGGTAGACTTTTATATTCTTATTTAAGGAAATTCTCAGAAAACTTAATAAAATTTGTCAAATACTGAATGCTTTTTCTTTTCTTTCTCTTGGAACAAACATCTCACTCATTTATTCATCAAACATCTATTAAGCGCCACAATGTGCCATGTGCTAGGCTCTGGGACTAGAAAGTAAACTAGACAGTCTTCCCCTGCTGTCAGAGACCCACAGGGCCAACACTATCCCATGTGATAGATCCCAGAATGATACAAGTATTAGGTATCACTGGGGCATCAAGAGGGGCACCTAAACTAATCTTGGAATTAAAATGACACATAAGCTGAGCCTTGGCGTACAATGGGTACTCACAGAAGTAACTCTGTGTGAATGAAGCTAAAATGGGAGTCATAATTAGCGATGTAAAAGAGCATAACATGATACCAATAAAATTTTTTGAGAGGTTGGGGCATACTGTTTGAGAGAGAACAACAATAATACTGAAAAGCTAGGCAAAGGTCAAGTCAGGGAGGGTCTTTAGGGCCACATAAAGGAGTTCAGACTTTAGCTGAGGTCACCAGGAAGCCTCTGATGGCCTTTAAAAGGAGAATGATATGTTCATATTCAAGTTTCAGAAAAGTCAGGTGGGCTTGCAGATGAGGAAGAGATAGAAGGAGGCAACACAGAATGCCAAGAGACCAGTCTGTCAGAGAGCTGCAAGTAGTGGTGATGGAGGTCTGGGAGAGAGCAGTTGGGGTTGGGGGAAAGCACGAGTAGCAAAATTCAAGAAGTATTTGGGTTAGAAGGTAGAACCATGATGATATGTTACATGGTAATATTCAAAGATATAGAAAACAGGAATAACAGAACATTTTTGGTAGAGGGAAGTGATGGTTCCAATCTTGGATGTTGAGTTTAAGGTACTAGGAGGCAGTTCAGAGCCTGGTTGGACTGGAGACATAAATTGGGGTATTATCAGCCTGGACGTGGTAGAAGAATTCTTGAGGGCATATCTATTGAGTACTGGTTATTTAGTGAGTACCCGATTTGAGACTACTATGTTGGGCACTGGAAATACAATGCCGAATAAAACAGAATGAATCCCAGGAGAGAAATCATCAGGAAAAGCAATATATAAAGATCAGGCAGAAAGAGAGAAGTCCTTAAAGGAGTTTAAGAAAAAGTTACCAGAAAGAAAAACCAAAAGAGTAAGGTGTCGCTGAAGTTAAGAGAATATTCTAGAAGGAGGACGTCAACAATGCTTAACGCTTCCAAGAAGTTCAGATAAGAGCTGGAAAGTACACATTGGCTTTAGCAACAAGGATGACATGTTTTCCAAGCAGGGGCACTCTTCATAGAATGATGGGGAAAGCTTGATTGATATGGATTGAAGACTGAACGGGAGGTGAGGAAATGGAGACAGAGCACAGACAACCCTTTCAATAAATCTTATCATAAAAAGAAGGAAAGAAGATAAAATCTGGAGAGGAACAAAAATAAAGGCATGGAAAGGTGTCTCCTTGACTCTTCCTACTCTCCCAAGATGGGGTGGGGAAGGATATGTTGATTGATGAGAAACAATTATTAGAGAGGGGTATGTCCAAGATATAGGCAAAAGGAAAACAATCAAAAGAAGCATATCTGAGAGGCAGGATGGGCTGGGAATCCAAGCACACGATGAAGAGTTGGTCTGTCCCACCACACATTTGACTTTAGTAGGCAGGTGGCTGAACCGATTTCAATTTACTCCGTTAGGAAGGAGGCAAGATAGTCAGTCACTGAGAGTGGGTAGTGAGGATGGAGATGTGAGAAGAATGGAGATTAGATCAGCTCTGCTGAGAACAAGGACTGATGAGAGGGAAAACAGGAAGAACTGCTGAGCAGGTCAGAGCCCGCTCTGTTCAGGTTGGAAATGATGGGCAGTTCTCTGTGAAATGCAATGAATGAATGCTGCCTTAGGTGTTTGGCCTTAGGACTGAGAAAAAAAAAAAAAAGCTACCAGATAAAGAATGAAGATGTTAGGGGTCTTGATATCATGAGAGTCAAGGTCCCATGGTAAAAGGATCAGGTGGAGGAGGGCAGAGAAAGACCACAGACTTCCACCTCCCATGGAAGCTGCTAATGAGGGAAGGAAGAGGAAATCTACCATTTAGCCACCCAGCTCTTATCTCTTTGTTATTGCCTGACATCAATAAAGAATAGCTTCTAATGAGGGCTCCCCATGCCTGTGCCAGGCCCCGGTGCTCAGCATTGTGGCACACTGTGGTTTGGCCTCCTCAAAAGCCCGCTTCATTATTCAATACTTGTTAATGATTGTTTCAAACTGGGAAGATTGACAGGTGAAGAAATAAGAACGTTGTCAAATCTTGCTAACAATGAGTTTGAGTTATTCATCTAATAGTTTCTTCAGATGAAATGACAGCCTTACTGGCAATGACAATTTTCTTCTTCTTTTAAGAATGTTTTGGGTTGTGGGGGTGCGGCCTGCATTTTCATAGGGAGGCTTCATCTTTTGGGGAAGATACTGACTATTTCAGAGCTTTCCAATTTGGAGCCCATACCATATGAGGTGTGCGAGATAATCTAGCATATCTCCAACATTATTTGTGTTCCTTTCTGCCTAGACAAGCTTACTCTGATTTAACATCCTGAGTTGACCCTGGTGCCCACCCATGGACAGTTATGGGCTCTGGAGGGACAGTGGGGATCTTAGAAAGTAAGAAGCTGACATGCGCCTTCACAAATGTCTTCCCTTTCAGTGTCTTGAGACGCGTGGCCATCCGCTTGTGTCTGGGGAGTGAGGATTTGCAGATTTATCATCTAGCTTTAATTAGGTTACACACACAAAATTAACAAGTGTCTCAAAAAGACTTCTGAGATATAGACTGACATTAGTTCTGCTGATGTAAGCACAAGAAAAAGCCACAAGAAAATGTCAGAGCTGACACCTTCCCCTGCCACTGGTTATGAGTGTGTCGTCACCCACAGGAAAAGACAAAAACTGGGATGATCTAATGAAATCTGAAAAAGAGTTAACCAAAAAGTTGAAAATTATCAAGAAATATGAATTTACATTTACTACGGTGAAGGCTGAACCTTGCCCATGTGTAAATTTTGCCTGGAAGTGTCACTCAGTGATCACGTGAAGGCATCATGATTAGCTAATCATTTAAAATATTATTTCATGCCTCAAGTACTTTTTTATGTTTTATAATGTTCATAGCACATTAGTATAACATATAAAGTGCTACAGATGGTACACAATATTGGTAAAGTACATGATAATTCATTTTATATATATATATATATATATACATACATTTTTTACTTACTTGCACTGAGGATATTTACTAGGGTCCCTATGGAAAAATTTGGAGACCCTTGGTCTAATTTATCATCTGTCAATAATACCTTTTTAAAAATATATGTGGACCAGGGATGATTTAGAATCCCTCTCAGGTTCTGCCACATGACAGCTCTGCAGAGACCCCATGCAGAGCACAAAGTCAGCCAGTTCTCTTGTGTTCATAGCTCAGAGTAGAAGATCCAACCCTCTCCAAGCCACATGCACACAGCTGGTCATGACAGGTTACCTTCTGCTTCTCCTTCTTCGTCACAGTTTGCTTGGAGCTTTCTACAAGATGGGAAAGTGCCTCATGCTTCTTGGTACTAACCATTAATTTCTTCTTGGCCTAGAGTCAAAAACATACAAAAAGCAAAAAGGGATGAGAAACCAATATCAAGAGAAAAACTCTTCTGTTCTGGAACAAGTCATGTTCAGGTGCTAGCTTAAACAATTGTGTAATTTTAGTTCTTCGTTTCTACCCTCACCTCAAAATCTGCTTGGAATATCACAGAGGCTAACATTTTGCCCTGAAATCACTGTATATTTTTCATTATATTGAGTACACTCAAGAGGGCTATACATTTCTCCAAATCACAAAGGCCCCCAAGCCTCCAAAACATTGTTTGAGCTAGCATCATGAAAGGAATAGCTTTACCATAAAAACATCACAGCAGACATGGAAGACCACCTGCATCATTCTTTTAAATCAACCTGGGCCACAACTGAGGTTGTTTTAAGATGCTCTCTTAAAATTTACAGCAAAAGGGCAATTTTGCATCTGATGCAAAGGTTTCAGAGGTGGGCATTTGCCTGGCATTTTGTGAAATGGCCTGTACTGGTGTGGGGAGGAGGAGCGGGGGTGGGCTGGGAAGGTAAAAGTGCATTCAACATCCTCCTACTCTGTTGGTCCCTCAAACCTCAAAGTGGGTTATGATCATGGTGATCATTTCCTATTCTACACAGTTCCAACCAAGAAGATGATGTTCCAGGGGCGCCTGGGTGGCTCAGTGGGTTAAAGCCTCTGCCTTCGACTCAGGTCATGATCCCAGCATCCTGGGATTGAGCCCCACATCAGGCTTTCTGCTCGGCAGGGAGCCTGCTTCCACCCTGCCCTCTGCCTGCCTTTCTGCCTACTTGTGATCTCTGTCTGTCAAATAAATAAATAAATAAATAAAATGTTTAAAAAATAAATAAAAAGATGATGTCCCAGAGATAAAATGAGAAAACAGAAATTGGTTTGAGTTGGATCCAGCCTGTTCAGGAACTGGATTGATTAAAAGACTGTTTAACTTTGCACGTCAAGGTCACAAGGACTGCAAAACCAGGTAATGTAGTGAAAAGTTCAGTTCCCTCTCTCTTTAGGAATTGGAGGCAAAGCCTTCCAAATGTCTCTCAACCTCTGAAGCTTCGGCAAAAGGGAATTCAGGAAAACAGGATACTCACTAACCCTCTTTCTCTGCCTCCAGTTAGTCCCATGCCCGTGAAGAAAGGAGAACATGAGGGAAGAGCTTTGGGTCCTTTAAGGCTTCCACTTCTGTCTCCCCAATAGACTGCACTTCATTACTGACATGCTGCAACACTTCAGTTTTAACTGGAGAGAAAATCATTAGAGCTCAAGAATTTTATGTTCTCTAATTTCTCCATCACTCTTCATAAAAAAATAAAATCATTTTATGTAGAAAAATTACTTGGTGGAAACTGGGAAAGAATAAAAGATGCTTTTTTTTTTTTTTCTTGAAAGCAATTATGGCTGCTGGGCATGGTTTCTCTCTTTTGGTTCGTTATACTGGAATTTCTGTGAAAGCTGAATATTTAGAGAATGGATTTTTAAAAAACAAATTCTGCTTGGGGTGCCTGGGTGGCTCAGTCGGTTAAGCACCTGACTCTTGATCTCAGCTCAAGTCTTGATCTCAGGGTTGTGAGTTCAAGCCTCACATTGGGCTCCACACTGGGCGTGGAACCAACTTAAAAAATAAATAAATAAAAATAAAAAACCAAATTCTGTTTAAGAAATCTCACAAAATCAAGAGCAAAACGAAAACCAAATTACTGGACACTGATTAAACATTTATTATAAAAGTGATTCTCATGAGCATTCTTTTACCAGTACTACTAGTGGGTATAGAAATTCATTTATCTCAAACATTTCTTTTTTTTAAGATTTTATTTATTTATTTGACAGGGAGAAAGACAGTGCGAGAGGGAACACAAGCAGGGAGAGTGGGAAAGGGAAAAGCAGGCTTCCCACTGAGCAGGGATCCCAATATGGGGCTCGATCCCAGGACCCTGGGATCATGACCAGAGCCTAGGCAGACGCTGAATGAATGAGCCACCCAGGCACCCCTCAAACATTTCCTATTAATTTCTTTGGTCTTATGGAATCCTTGATTTCAGCAGGAGCTTCAAAGGCAACAGTGAGGACTGAGTTGGGCTCCCTATTTTTGAGGGATCTCTCTGGTTATTTGCTGCTAGCAGCTGTCTACTGGGGAAAGTTCTCTTTGGGTACGGATACTCTGAAGATGAAAAGGGAGTTCAGCTTTTGGACCACAAGTTCTTTCAAAGTGGATCCCTGGGTTTTCTTAACAGATTTCCTCTCCATTGGTTTCTAGTTCTTTCAACTTGAATTCCTCCTAAACTGGATTGTTCTAGAATTATCTTCTCTACATATATATGGGTTCCATCTGTTATTCTCTCTGCGTAAGAACTTGCATTGATGTGCTCTAAATTCTCACACCAGATCATAATTCTTCTCCCTAGAATTCATTTACTGTTTCCTGCACATATGTTATCTAGCCAACTACATTTTAAATTACTTACAAATAGGAATCATGCCCTAGTAGAGTGTGGAATACAGGAAGTGGACCATACACATCTGTGGAATCAATATATGTATTCCCCCTACATATGGCTACTCACCTCTCACAGTACTCCTCTCACTAGTGAGACAGAGATCATGAATATCACAAATGATATATCCAAAACTCAGAGAGTATTTGTCACTTACCTTAAACTACAGATTATACAGAGAGGCAGTCAGTGTAGTGGAATGGGTAAGAGCCATGACTCTGGAACCCAACAATGTAACAATTCTCGGTTCAACAATTAACCAGCTTTACGAAGATTATTTACCTCCCTATGCCTCAGTTTCCCCACCCATCTGTCAAACAGGACATACCACATTGGTTTGGTTTTGTGGGGGGGTGGGGTGTGTGTGTGTGTGTTGCAATGATTGAATATAGAAATATATAGCATTTGGCACACAATAAATATTATGTTAGCTATAAATAATAAACATATTTTGAGCCTTGCTCTTCTATTGATTTAGTTGAAAGGTATATCTATAGAATAATTCACGTGAGGAAACATTTTTCTCTTCGGTTAGCACCTAGAAATACTAACACTAAAACACAGCATCACATTCGTGCAAAAGCAGAAAGGTTCAGTCCTAAAAACTGAGTTTACATAAATGACATTCATTTGTATACTTGCCTTGATTTGTTGATTCCAGTTGCCAATGACAAGATTTGCTGCCTTTTCAACTTCATTATCAAGCTGTGAACAGAAAAAAAGAAAAATGATTTTTTTCGGTCTTTCTGTTGAGTCATGGTGCTGGCTTATGAATTCTGGCATATTCAGTATCACAATCCATTGGAATTTCAGAATCCTACAGTGGACATGTATCCTGAGAAGAGCAGCTGAATTATCTTTTCCCCATGTCAAAACCTCTTGACAGGATTTAGCTTGAATGCATTTGGTAAAATAACTATTTGTGCGTATAAACTATGTAACTACACAAAAACTTGTAAAAACACCAGTGCATGTGATTTGCATGGAGGGGGTCTTGGATAGTTTGGTGTCCCTTTCTGTTCCAGCACATCTTCAGCTCAGCATCATTCCATGTGGCCCAAACTTTAGCACGTCGACAATCCCTAACAGTCCTGGTAGTGCTAATTTTACCAAGTGTCTCATTGCCCCTGAAATGAACACTGTTGTAATTTCAAAGAGATTGAATTCTTAATCATAATTAACTTTTCTTCTGCCCTTGAACAGCCAAAGGGATGGTAACAGTAATGATCCAAATGCATCTAGACAACAACCCAAGGAGAGCAGACTTAACTAAGGGGAAGATGTTTTTTTCTTGGACCATAGATGTTTCTTCCCAAGCCCACAGATCAGCCATGACTCAACCACACTGAGATCTAGCAATGCTGTTCTTTTATTTAGTCCAGCTGATTAAATTTGGAATACAATTTATTGTAACAAATACAATGAAAATAATTTTGTGCATGATGTCACTTTGACTATGTGAAATATGGAACAAGTTCATTTTAAAAATAATTTTCATCCTTTTTTTTTTTTTTTAAGTAGTCTCCACACCCAGGGTGGGGCTTGAACTCATGACCATGAGATGAGGAGTCACATGCTCTACTGACTAAGCTAGCCAGGCACCCTGAAGAAAAGAATTCTCATCTTTTATCTTCTGTGACTGAGTGGGTTGGGGTGGTAGGGGTGCAGTGGGGAAGGGCAATGCTGAATAAAGGCTGTGAAATCGGACCACGGATCATGCTGTTAATTATCCAAAGCACTAAGATAATGATCGAGTCACTGTGCCTAATTTATGGTAAGTACTAAAGAAATGCTAGTGATTATCGTATTATTATGGGGTATGAAAATATTTTGTAATTAATGAAATGTAGACTGGTGTTTGGTTTTTATTAAGTTGGTTTGCAAAGGTGGAAGATTATATTGCTTAGTAATCATTACTGTGTAAATTTCCCCCATTACCCCAGCCCTCAGTAGAACATCCACTGTGGTAAAAACACACATTATGTCCACACAAACATCAATTCCATTTCCTGACTAAGTTTAATGAATTTGAATAAAAATGTTTTGTCTTATTTCTCTTCCATCAGGTTTTTCTAGATCCCCCATCTTACTAACTTACTACCTTTAGGACCTCCTTTATCTGGCTGTGGTCATTTGAACCCAACCCTAGCCACCACCCCTTCTCTTCACAAGGGCCACCAATGACTATTTCTGAACTTCTAACTTGCACCTGGCTTTGAACCAATTCTGACCATGACCTCACCCCTATCAGTGTTGAGCAGCGTTTATTAAACACCCCTTTATGTCGCCTGAAAATAGATTTTAAAGTGCTTAATAACTGAATGTTATTACATTCATGTAATATACATGTGCTTAATAACTGAAAGAAAAAGAAGCACAGATAAAATTGTTCTGGAAGGAAACGGATACGGGAAGACCAGAGAATATGCTAGACAAGAGGACCAGGTGCTCCTGAAAGAATATAGGTTTTTTTTTCTTTTTTCCAATTTTAAGACTATCTGAGGATTATATCTATTATTGCCTTTACCCAATCCCAAACTGTTAAGCACACACAAAAAAATCTTTTTAAGAACTGTGTTTATAATTCTTCTGTTTACAGAAGGGATATCTAGTCATTGAAAAACAATCAAAATACAAAAAGTATGAGATAAAAATAACCTCAAACACCACTATCTAGAAATAATTCTTATTAACATTCTCGGGAGGTTCCTTCAGATTTTTTTTCTATTCATATATACATATTTACTTTACAAAATTGAGATCATTTTTATTTCACACTATATAGTGAAAAAATTTCCATGTCATTAATTTCTTCTGTAATAAGATTTTAATGGTTGCATAATATTCCATTGCTTGAATTTATCATAATTTATTTTTGGATGATAAAGAGGTTTCTAGTTTTTCACTATGACAAACAATGCTTTAGCAAACACCTTTGTACATAAATCTTGAGCTCTTGTTTCTTTTAATGACAGATTCCTGAAAGCTAGCATCACTTTCGATCACCTTTCATTCCTCGGGTCAAAGACAGAAATCCTGCTTTAAGAGAGATTTGACTCACTGATTTTCTCTTCTTTTCATGTACACTCAGGACTTGATGAGTTGGTTTTATTGCTTCCAACTCAATTGCTTTGCCAAGTTTTCTAGAAATAGAACATAAAAGACACAAAAGCATAGTATTAGGATTTATATCTACTTTCCAAATTGTTTTCTGGGGAAATAAAACGGTGTGTTCCAGCCTGCCTATTCAGGGCAAGTTTGAAGCAGAGTATTCATGGCATACCCACTTTAAGTATTTATGCTTCCCCCTGGGGTTGGGGTAAGTAGTGGAGAGGGGAGTAGGGGTGGGAAGTGGGGGGGGGGTAGGGGGAACACCACTCACTGATGCAGGTCCGCCGCTGATTTCATGCCCTCTGAGACCCAGGTCCAGGCACTGACGAGACAGCTGGGGGCAAAACAGGAGGGCACAAGAGTAGGTGTCATGTTCCCAGTAAAGTCTGAGCAATGCAGCGTCATGTCTGATCCACTACCTACAACAACTGCTCTCATTTCCCTAATCTTATTTCAGTGTGTCCATGGGATTTAATTCTGCCAATTTATTGATTTGCACTGTAATCATTACATAGACAGCCTTTTCTCCATCATTTTCCATTTCAATTTTCATCTTCCATTTCATGTCTGTAGAAAATCAGGGACATAAAGTAGCCAAGGGTGAGCAGGCATTTAGAACAGGCGGGAGATTGTGGGCTGGGTAGGGGGAGAGAGGCCTCAAGACCACCTTTTCAGGCTCCTCATTTCACCAGTGAGTGCACTGAGCTAGGCTCAGAAAAGTTAAAGGGCGTAGGACCCAAGAGCCCTGGGACATCCCCGCATGCTGCTCTTGGGTTTGGGGTCCAGCTACTGTTCCCTGCTGGTTTTTAAGACCACAGCTCAGATATTTTGTCATTTTATAAGCAGTGTCTCCATTTAACAAAAGGAGGACACTGCCCTGCCCCTAACGGCACATGGTGGGGGTTAAGAAGTGTGATGCTATTTTCTCCCACAGAAAGGGGAGAGCTCACCGCAGCCCATATCACTGGCCTTCAAAAGACAGAAGGATAAGCTCAGTTGCATCTATAAACCTCAGGGACAGAAGTGTGTGTAGACTCTGCTGGAGGGGTGGGGACAGATATGTGCCCCTGCTGAAATCAGGATGGTGCGAGGTTTTGCCTCCAAGTGACTTAGGCTGCACCCTATAGTCAGAGAATTACATAGCTAGACCAGAGGATGCCAGATTTTCTGCATATCCAAAGCCAGGCATAAAGCCAGAGACTAGAGACTACTTAGTATAGACCTCCAGTTTTTTTGCAAAAAAGCCCAAAATGAATCTGTATCAATAATAAGTAGATCAGTGGTCACTTAGGTGGGGAAAGGACGGCAAACAGGCATGAAGAATCTTTTGATGTGATGAAAATGTCTATGTTTTGATTTTAGTGGGGCTACATCTATAGTATACACCTACATACACTATATACATATATAGTATACACCTATATACACTATATACATATATAGTATACGCCTATCAGAATCGACCAAACCATATACTTAAGGAGGGTGCTTTTTGTTCCATGTAAATTAAACTTCCATAGAGTTGATTTTTTTTTTAAAGATTTTACTTATTTAGCTGACAAAAAGAGACACAGTGAGAGAGGGAACACAAGCAGGGGGGGGTGGAAGAGGGAGAAGCAGGCTTCCCACCAAGTGGGGAGCCCCATGAAGGCCTTGATCTCAGGACCCTGGGATCATGACCCAAGCCGAAGGCAGATGCTTGACTGACTGAGCCACCCAGGTGTCCCAGAGTTGATTTTTTAAACAGGAACTCAGACACCCTTTGGAAAAGAGAATCTGACACTTGCTCCTCAGAGGAGCTGAGCAGCAGAGCTGGAAGCCTAGAACCTCAGCCTCAGAGGGGTCTCTGTTTCCTATGTGACCTTAGAAAGATCACATGAGTTCTCTCACCCTCAGGTAATTCGTCTCTTAAAATAGAAATAATTCAGGTTACCTACACAACACAGATTAGGGGTATAGGTAATAGTCCAGTTAATGTTTATTATTAAATATCATTGTGCTAATCTTCGTTAACTGAACATTCTGGACATGCCAACTCTCTGGGAGCATGCAGGCCAGACGCTGGGATTGCAATACATAAGACCCACACCGCTGCATCCTTACCCCTCTCATTTCTTAGGGGGTAATTAGAATCAAAGTCATAATGAACTCCATGCCAGATATTAAACACAATACTTGTATTGTCTCATTTAATCCTCACAGCAATTATATGAGATAGGTTCTATTTCCATTTTAAATACACACTGAGAGGTAAAATAAATTGCCCTGATTCGCCCGCCTGATAAAGGGTAGAGATAGAATTTAAATCTGGGGCAGTGTCAATAAAGTCTATACTCAACCATTTGGCTATACTGGCTGCTTCACAGTCTACTAAAATACTCTCCTAAAAGTCAAGCTCAAAGTCAAACAGTCACAAAGCCATTATTTGCTTTTACAGAGGATGCCTTCAAAGAAGAAGTAAGAATGTGAGCTCCAGAAGGCTTCTTTCTGTCCCTCTCCCTTTCACCATCCAAGAGGTCTTTGCCGTGCCCCTTCCAGCTAGGGGTGACATCTGCAAGCATTGGTCAAGAATCTTGGTAACCAATTACCATTAATGGACCATTTTTATAATCTCTTTTAGGATATCCAGTATCTTTCCTCTCTCCCCCAAAAGAAAAAATCAACTTTATTCCAAAATGTATTAAGGAAAATGTGAACCACCAGTTTTTCAGGACCCAACGAACTAATCTCCACATACAAGATCTCATATAATCTACACCGCCCCCATCCAGACTTGCACACCCATGCACCAGGCAACTCATATCAGTACTCCATCTAACTTATGGAGGAAATCAAGGCACAGGGAGGCCAGGTTACTTGTTGGAGGTCATGGAGTAGAGATAAAGCGGGATTCACACTCCTTGACTCCAAGACCCTCCAATTTAACAGCACTCCTTCCAAAGTAACATATCATCACTGAGGCTTCTTATGAATATGGGCTTAGGAATCATAAGGACACCGGATTAGCCCAGTTCTGACACTTATTATTTGTGTCACTGGGGCAAGTTTCTTAAAACTCTCCAAGCCTCAAGACCTGTCTGTAACTGGGACAATAATAAGACTTAATAAGGGTTGTTGAGAGGCTTAAAGGGGAGTATCTGTGAAAGTACTTAACACCATGCCTGGCACACAGTAAGTGCCCAAGAAATCATAAGCCAGGCTGAATGCTGCGCACCTGCCACATTTCTAAGAGGAAGCTGGCCTCGAACATATGTCACTTATTATAACTCTTATGAATGATTTTACCTTACCTGTTTCATATACTTACTTTTTTTTCGTGCTCTGTAATGTTTTGCTTAACTTGATTACCAGTTTCTGAAGTCCTTTGGCATAGTTAATCTCCAAGTTTGCCCTGTTAGCAAAGGGATAGTTGGTAGATTGGATGTTCTGACCAGATATCAAACACACACACACACACACACACACACACACGTGTGAAGGAGGGCTCAGACTGACAATGCAATGTCTACACAAGGAAGAGATGATGTGTTTACTCTAAGGATCCCCTTCTGTCCTTAGGTGAAATCCTTAAGGATCTCCAAGAAGAGCCCACAAAGGGGGAGTTTTTCATTTAAACTTCTTGCATACCAGTGTTATGGATTGAATTGTACGCCCTTCCCATCTTGCCACAATGTTAAAACCCTAACCCCCAGATCCCATGAATATGGCCTTATTTGGAAATAGGGACTTTTCAGATGACCAAACTAAGATGAGGTCATCGGAATGGGCCCAGATCCAATATGGCCACGTCCTTATAAGAAGAGGAAATTTGGACATAGAGAGAGACACACACACAGGGAGAATGCCATGTGGAAGTGAAGACAAGAGACTGGGGCAATGCATCTACAAGCCAAGGAGTCCCAAAGATGGGCAGCAAACCACCAGAGGTGAGAGAGCAGCATGGACCAGATTCCTCCTCACGCACTTAGAAGGAACCGACCCAGATGACACCTGATCTCAGACATCTGGCCTCCAGAACTATGAGATGCTACATCGCTGTTTTTTAAGACACCCAGTCTGTGGTACCTTGTTATGTCAGCCCTAGCCAACCAATTCATGGAGTAAGGAACAGAAGACTTTCCTGCTTGCTCTAGGACATTAGCACCATCAGATTAGCTCTAGATTATAATAGTTGGCGATAAAGTGATAAATTATGATGAAGTTAGCCAAGAAGTAGCTTTCTTTGTTTTGTTTTGTTTTGTTTCTCACTGTCCTTGATCATGTCTTTATTTAAAATTAGCTGTCCAAAATGGCTCAACATTTACGCAAGAAATACAAGTAGGTTTATGCGGCGAGCTTCCTGTCTTGATGGTGGGTTTTCTTTTCTGTGGGCTTCTCAGCTGTTGCTTTGTCACTGCAATCTTTGCAACCTTTTCCCCACCAAAGGCTTCTTCTGCTCCTTAACGCCAACAGCCTCCTTTCCTTTCTTCCCTACCACAGGCTGCTTGCCTGGGACCCCCTTCTATTCTGACTTGGCTTCTAGCACCACTGCCACCTGACACAAACCCAGAGTTTGTGACGCCTGGCCTGGTGAGAATGGTGTTCAGGCACATGGTCTTTGCATATGGGTTTAGCATCAACAGAATTCTCAGGTTCTTCAGCGGATTCTTCTTCAGGACTCTGTGATGCATCTTCTTCCATGGTGCTCGGAGGGCTTTTGGATCTCTGGGCTTTTCAAGGTTCTGCTAAGGTGTGTATCAAGCATCTTGGGCATGGGAAGGTGATAGTTACTCTTGAGGGAGGCAGCCTTATGCCGAGTGTCATCCAGATTATCCAGCTCGAGGAAATCGCTTTCAGTACAAATGTGGAAACATCCTCCATGCCCACCAGGAGTAAGTTCCAAAATGTTCAGTTTGCTTACATTAAGTAGAGTAATTCCAGGGATGTTTCCAAAGGTCATGGTGACACTGTTGTCCTCATTATAGATGATGGGAGGTCCCCCACGTTGGATATGATGATGGTTTCTCATTTTGCCATTTCCAGCTCTCATTTGTTGAGATACACAGATCTTTGTTTTTGTTTGTTTGTTTGTTTGGTTTTTAAGATTTTATTTATTTGACAGAGAGAGATCACGAGTGGACAGAGAAGAAGGCAGAGAGAGAGGGGGAAGCAGGCTCCCCACTGAGCAGAGAGCCCGATGTGGGGCTTGTTCCCAGGACCCTGAGATCATGACCTGAGCTAAAGGCAGAGGCTTTAACCCACTGAGCCACCCAGGTGCCCCACACAGATCTTTGTTTTTAATAGCATTCCAGGTCTTAAGTTTCTGAAGAAGCAAAAGGTCTCCTTGGTCTTTTTGTAGACTTAGACTTTATTTTCAGCCACTGGACAAGCACACATCATGGCAGGGAGAGGAGAGCAAGAGGAGACATGCTCTCCTCTCAATGCTCCCCTCAACCCAGCGACTCCTACACAAGAAGCAAGAAGGAGCTTCCTAATGGAAAAGTACAGAATTGGACAAAACCAGATTTAGAAAATGGATTTCTGTTACTTTGTGTGCAGGAAAAGACTCAGTAGGGAATCTGGGCATGTCTCCAAAAGCAAACTCCTTGGTTCTTTTGAATAGATTGAATCACCGTGATCTTAAACTGATTTTACCGTGTCCTACTTATAGGCCCATCTATAGATAAAATAACAACATACTCTTATTCATCTTCTCATTTTCACTGCTGAAGATAATAAAAGTGTAGGAAATTAAGTTCGATCTGTATTGTTTTCCTTCTTAATTTGGACCAGAATGGGCTTGTTTATTTTGTTGTTATTGCATAGATTTTAGCCTTTGAGTTCTATTTTTATTATAACATATCTTTAGGATTATTTATGACTTCATTTCATTTGAAAAACAATCCCAGAACTCCCTAGTCACTAAACTTAATACCTGTATTTTTTTCAGAGCAGTGAATTTGGACTCAGTGTTATGGACAAAACAGAGAATGATAGCTCTGTTTTATGAAATGGAATCCAGAGGTTATTGGCCTATGCTAAATTTCTATTCAGCTTTCCCTCTTAGTATAGCTGTGTTCTAAGTTATTTTTGCCACTTTTTGCAGGAAAGAAGGCCACTGTAGGATGCATGTTAAGACCTAGGTGCAGAAAACAACATTTGGAATCAGAACTTGCCCAAGAATAAGGAATGGCAATAGCAAATATTTTAAAATAATGAAGCTGATAAATATCTCATTGCATTAAAAAAAAAATGTTCTGCACTCTAGGAATATGTTCCAGTTGATGGAGAGAGAGAATGCTGTTCAGCAGCAAGCTCGGAGTGACCATCACCTTGATGAACCTAGATGCTGTAGAAGCCCAAACCCCAACTTCTGGAATGGCCTTAGGCAGTGCTAAAAGGGACTAATCAGACCTACCTCAAGAGGTGTTATGGTGAGTAAAATGTACAAATGACCCAAGCCTAAGAAGGGCTGGACAGCGAGATGGATTGCTTGATTGACCTGCATAATCTGACACCTGGCTCCTCTCTGATATCCCCTCCCACCAGTCATCCCATGCTCCTGCTTAGTGACCAAATGCAATCCTGCCTCAGGGCCTTTGCACATGCTGTGGCTGGGTAGTTCTTCTGCTACATAACCACATGGCATCTCCTTCAAGTAAACCCCAAACAGCACTACCTCAGAAGCTACCCCCCTACAGCTGTATCTATGTCCTAGAATGTAGCACTATCTTATCAGGTGTTTACTGTGTATTTCTAGGAACAAGTCTTTGAACAGACCTAGAATGTAAGTTCCTCAAGGGCCAGAATTTGCTTTGTTCGCTGCTATAGCTCTAGACCTAGAACAGTACCAGGCACGTAATAGGCACTCAGTACATATCTTGAATGAATAAATCACTGAATGGACTTCCCATCAGATCTTGGTTGGAATTTTTAACTGGTCTCTGCTATATTTGTTCTTGTTTCCCACCTTCGAAAAGCTTAAATTCTTTAGATGCATTCCTGTCCTGATGCATTGCTCAGCCCTAATGTCAGAATACACTGCTTTCTAGCCCTTATGGCAGCTAGACACAAACCCTGTCCTAGTGTGTCACTAACTGGAGGGCTTTTAAGGACTTTCTTTTCCAGCATTCCACTCCGACTTGGAAGCAGCACAGAAAGCATGAAATCCAGTGAAGCATGCATACTGCTCAGCTCAGTGCTGGGCACCAAACAAATTCTTACTAAATCGTAATTTTTCTAATCTGATTATTATGTACCCCAAGGATCTCTAAACATTCAGAACACTCCAAAAATATACAGAGATGGGAGGTACGGGGGAAAGAATCCACAGTTTGCTTATCCATTGGCTCCAGAACAATTCAGAATGGCTTCTAACAGGACAGGCACAGGCTTTTCCTCAGAATTTGTTTTCACTTTCAGAATGTTCTGGTAGGCTGTACAAGGAGTCCCAGAGGCCAAGCAGAAATAAAGAGTACAATTGCCAGAAGGAAGAGCTGCTTTCCTTTAAACTGTTGACTTAATCAGATTCACCTGGTGAAAAAAGTTGGGCTCTGGTGTCCAGAAAGGAGGAGGGTCCTGCTGGCTTTGAGGCAATTGCTCATTTCTGTGTTGAGCCCGGTCACCTTTGCTCCACAGTCCCAGTACTTCTGCGGGCCTTCTCTTGAGTGCCGTAGGAAACCAGCCTACAGAGTTTCAATTAATTAATTGATTTCTAAGATACTTGTGTGAAGAGAAACGCTGCCTATGCAAAGGCATTGCCATCCTTTGTTGACATGTGGCTGACGCTTGACCTGTGCTCTGTCTGCACACGAAAGATGACATCCGGGACACCTGGGTGGCTCAGTCGGTTAAGCCGCTGCCTTCGTCTCAGGTCATGATTCCAGGGTCCTGTGATCGAGTCCCGCATTGGGCTCCTTGCTCGGCAGGGAGCCTGCTTCTCTCTCCATCTCTGCCTGCCACTCTGCCTGCTTGTGCACTTGCTTGAATGCACTCTCTCTCTCTCTCTCTTTCTCTCTGACAAATAAATAAATAAAATCTTAAAAAAAAAATTTAAAAAAAAAAGAAAAGAAAGATGACATCCAACATTTCTTGGGCACTTAGAACATGCCAGGCACCATTCTGAGTGTTTTAGGTGTATTTCCTCATTTAATCTGTGGTAACTCCCATCAGGTAGGCACACGTACTCTACTCTTTCACAGAGGGGAACACCAATGCACAGCCTAGTCTGTTAACTTGTCTGAGGTCACACAGGAAGAAGGGACAGAGCTGGGACACAAACTGGGCAGTCTGGCTCGAGAAAGCACCTGCTTGGTTACTCCAGTTTCCTGCTTCTGAAATAATGGGGAAGAGGCAGGAATAGAGAATTGCGGAGGAAGACAAAGGTTAAGTATTTTTTAAAAAACTGACACC